CAATCCTACTAAACATTTTATTTACATCAGTATTCCATTTTAATTGTTTCCTGGACATATTCAATGACTGAATTTGCTATGTTGGTTCCCAACAACATGCACTTAGTTATGTTTACATTCAATATATGCCAGTTATAAGTCAACCAATGATGTACAGTCTAAAAATCATTTTAATTTTCATCTAATGTTGGCATTTTTGTCTGTGTACAAGACCTGAGGTTGAATATTAAATGAACTTCATATACGATGAAAATTGTGCTTGATAAAACTCCATTTAAGAAATGCATTGACTACAATTAAATAAATAGTGAAACAACACTTATTTTCATCACTGGCAGTACCCATTTGCAGGGATGATAATTTTCTGCGGATTTCTAAGCCCCATGGATCTATTTTCTGAAACGTCTAAATCTGAAGAGAAAATTTTAGAGGGGGTAAGAATACAAACCATGTTCATTCACCGGAAGTAAACACGCTGTCAGGTCATTGTTGTCAGCTGCAAGAGCCCTGTATCAGTGTATGGTCGAGGGGAGACAACTCATGGTGTCTCCAATGCGAAATGTTCGTGACACTTTAGAGAGTTTAAAATTTGCGTATGTAACAGGAACGTAACGTGTTGTTCTAATTTCGTTTGCGCTATGTTCTCGGATGTCAGAAAACGATCAAGTACAAGCGCCTACAATGAGAACATATCGTAAACAAAACCATGTCAATCCATCTCTAATTGGGCAACCATAATATAACTGTTCAATAAAATTTGTTATGTCATTTCACGTCCGGAATCTGAATTAGTAGTTAGTTCCCAGACATTTGTCGGAGCTCTTGCTATTTCCATCCACTCTGCTGAGGTCCCAGGCCTGTTTGCCAAAACCTCTTTTAGCAGATCAGTGTCATGCGTTACCATACATCTAAATACATGTCTTTTCGCGGGAATGGCTATTTTTAAATGTTTAAGAACAATTCATCTAGTTACGTTTATACTATAGTACCGTAACTGGTTAGTATACGTCGCCTTTCGAGAAAGTGCACATAAATGCCCTGCGTCGTATGCATTGTTTACATAATGAGCAGACCAGTTGTGTTCGTTTTCAGTGGGTATAAATATCAGCTAAAATGAATTCAATATTTCTTATTTCATCATAAATATACAAAATCACTCTAATATAAAGCGTTTTATCAATGTCAGTGAAAATTAATCATAATTGACAGCGAGAAAAGCTCTCAGAAATCAACTATGAGTCGGTCACCTTGATCATCTCAAAACGACTGCTGTGCGACCAGGCAACCGTTGACGTCATTGGTTCGCGCGCAAGTCATGTACAAAGCAGTGATGTTTCCGTTCTCGTATGAGCATCTTAATGTCTCTTTTTCATTAGTGCAATCGTAAAATCCAAAGTGGTTTCGAAGTGTTTGAAGTAATATGTAACGATTAACATGATTGGCTGGGTTTGCTCTGACGGGCCAATCTGTGAAGCTTTCATTTTTTCTTTTCACCAACAGCGCCATTTTATTATATTGTTTCAATTGTTAGCCACGTTGGATCGTTGTTTACAAGTTTCATGCAGCGATAATGGTGAAATTGGTTACAAAAGACAACGAGTCAGCTGTGCGAGAGATCAATAAAGACATTAGGAACAAATTTCGTTGGGCATGTCTTGAAAAGGAAGTGACCTTGACCGTGCAAATTGGGAAGAAAGTGCTAACTGAAAAATTGAGTGACTTCATCGGTTCTCGGACCCCGGGTACTTTACTTTCAGCTGAAAATTAAAATTCTCATTCTCATCCCTGCATTTGCAGTTTTGTAAGGAGATTTGCTGCGAAAATCTAAGGATAATTTTCGTCCAATTGAAGAGATAGCAAAATATTGGATGTCTCGTCAATTCTCGTCACTCACATAATTGCGATCTTCATTAATTTATGCGTTTTTTGCCAGGAGAATCTTTCCCCATAGCTTATCTGACCTTTCAAAGTTTAAGATTATCATAATAATCCTTCTTAGCCCTATTTAACAATTTTTAGTCCACGTTCAGACGAAGTCTGAAAACGAGGACTTATAATTCAGTCTCCGTCCATCCGTGCGTCTGTGTGTTTGTTCGGAGTCATATCTCAGAATCCCTTGGACCGATTCCGTTCATTCTTTGCATGTGCCTAGTACTTTATGTGGGACATATGCACATGCAGTGGTTTAGCGATTCAATTCAAAATGGCCAACTGGCAGCCATCTTGTTTTTTGAAAATGTTGTATTTTGGACATGCTTTGTCAGTTTTCATTCAAACTGGTACATAGATTATACATGTTAGGATACATGTCCATGACGATTTATTTCACAATTGGATCAAAGATGGCCGACTGGCAGCCATCTTGTTTTATGAAAATGTTGTATTTTGGACATGTTTTGTCAGTTTCATTCAAATTTAGTACATAGATCATACATACATGTTAGGATACATGTCCCGAACGTCCGTGAGT